CCTGGAGAATTCCAGGGACTGTATAGTCCACAGGGTTGCAAAGAGTCAGACAGGACTGGGGGACTTTCACTTCGTTTACCTTCACAAAAGCAGCTGAAAATATACATCTTAAGGCCAGTCAGTTCAGTTCAATCACTCAATCATGTCCGACTCTTTGCAACCCCATGGACTGAAGCACACCAGAGTTCTCTATCCATCCCCAACTTCTGGAGCTTACTCAAACTCATGTCCATTGAGTCGGTGATGCCATCCAACCATCTCATCCTCTGTCATCCCTTCACCTCCTGTCTTCAAACTTTTCCAGCAACAGGGTCTTTTCCAATGAGTCAGTCAGAGGTGACCTGACAGTCATCAGGTGGCCAGAGTATTGGAGCTTCAGCTTCAGCATCAGTCCTTCCAATGAATATTCAGGACTGATTTCCTTTAGGATTGACTGGTTTGATCTCCTTGCTGTCCAAGGGACTCTCAAGAGTCTTCTCTGGCAACACAGTTCAAAAGCATCAATTTTTCAGTGCTCAGCTTTCTTTATACTCCAACTCTCACATTCACACATGACTACTGCAAAAACCATAGCTCTGACTAGACAAACCATTGTCGGCAAAGAAATATCTCTGCCTTTAAATATGCTGTCTATGTTGGTCATAGCTATTCTTTCAAGGAGCAAGTGTCTTTTAATTTCATTGCTGCAGTCCCATTTACAGTGATTTAGGAGCCCCCCAAAATAAAGTCTCTCACTGCTTCCATTGTTTCCCCATCTATTAGCCATGAAGTGATAGGACCAGATGTCATAATCTGTTTATTGAATGTTGACTTTTAAGCCAAGTTTTCACTCTTCTATTTCACTTTTATCAAGAGGCTCTTTAGTTCCTCTTCACTTTCTGCCATAAGGGTGGTATCATCTGCATATCTGAGGTTATTGATATTTCTCCCAGCAATCTTGATTCCAGCTTGTGCTTCATCCAGCCCTGTATTTCGATGTACTCAGTATAGAAGTTAAATAAGCAGGGTGACAATATACAGCCTTTACCTACTCCTTTCCCAATTTGGAACCAGTCTACTGTTCCATGTCTGTTTCTAAGTGTTGCTTCTTGACCTGCATACAGATTTTTCAGGAAGCAGCTAAGGTGTCCAGTATACCTTTCTTCCACAATTTGTTGTGATCCACACAGTCATAGGCTTTGGCATAGTCAATAGAGCAGAAGCAGATGTTTTTCTGTAACTCTCCTGCTTTTTTGATGATCCAACAGATGTTAGCAATTTGATCTCTGGTTTCTCTGCCTTTTCTAAATCCAGCTTGAACATCTGGAAGTTCACGGTTCATGTACTGTTGAAGCCTGGCTTGGAGAACTTTGAGAATTACACTGCTAGTGTGTTAGGTAAGTGAAATTGTATGGTAGTTTGAACATTCTTTGGCATTGCCTTTCTTCTGAATTGGAATGAACACTGACCTTTACCAGTCCTGTGGCCACTGCTGAGTTTTCCAAATTTGCTGGCATATTGAGTGCAGTACTTAACAGCATCTTCTTTCAGGATTTGAAATAGCTCAAATGGAATTCCATCTACTCCACTAGCTTTGTTCATAGTGATTCTTCCTAAGGATCACTTTGCATTTCACCATGTCTGGCTCTAGGTCAGTGATCACACCATCATGATTATCTGGGTTAAGAAGATCTTTTTTGTATAGTTCTTCTGTGTATTCTTGTCACTCCTTCTTAATATCTTCTTCTGTTAGGTCCATAGCATTTCTGCCCTTTATTGAGCCCATCTTTGCATGAAATGTTCCCTTGGTATCTCTAATTTCCTTGAAGAGATCTCTAGCCTTTCCCATTCTATTGTTTTCCTCTATTTCTTTGCACTGATCACTGAAGAAGGCTTTCTTATCTCTCCTTGCTATTCCCTTGGAACTCTGCATTCAAATGCGTATATCTTTCCTTTTCTGCTTTACCTTTCACTTCTCTTCTTATCACACCTATTTGGAAGCCCTCCTCAAACAACCATTTTGCCTTTTTGTGTTTCTTTTTCTTGGGGATGGTCTTGATCACTGCCTCTTATACAATGTCACTGACCTCTGGCCATAGTTCTTCAGGCACTCTCTCTAGCAGATCTAATCCCTTGAATCTATTTGTCACTTTCACTGTACAATCATAAGGGATTTGATTTAGGTCATACCTGAATGGTCTACTGGTTTTCCCTAATTTTTTCGATTTAAGTCTGAATTTGGCAATAAGGAGTTCATGATCTGAGCCACAGTCAGCTCCTGGCCTTGTTTTGCTGACTGTATAGAGCTTCTCCATCTTTGGCTGCAAAGAACATAATCAATCAAGTGGACCTTAGGAAGCATCACTATGAACAAAGTTAGTGGATGGGATGGAATTCCAGTTGAGCTATTTCAAATCCTGAAAGATGATGCTGTGAAAGTGCTGCACTCAATATGCCAGCAAATTTGGAAAACTCAGCAGTGGCCACAGGACTGGAAAAGGTCAGTGTTCATTCCAATTCAGAAGAAAGGCAATGCCAAAGAATGTTCAAACTACCTCACTGTTGAATTCGTCTCACATGCTAGCAAAGTAATGCTCAAAATTCTCCAAGCCAGGCTTCAGGAGTACGTGAACTAGGAACTTCCAGATGTTCAAGCTGGATTTAGAAAAGGCAGAGGAACCAGAGATCAAATTGCCAACACCTATTGCATCATCAAAAAAAGCAAGAGATTTTCAGAAAAACATCTACTTCTGCTTTACTGACTATGCCAAAGCCTTTGACTGTGTGGATCACAACAAATTGTGGAAAATTCTGAAAGAGATGGGAATACCAGACTACCTGACCTGCCTCCTGAGAAATCTGTATGCAGGTCAAGAAGCAACAGTTAGAACCAAACATGGAACAACAGACTGGTTCCAAATTGGCAAAGGAGTACATCAAATCTGCATACTGTTACCCTGGTTATTTAACTTATATTCAGAGTACCCCATGAGAAATGCTGGGCTGGATGAAGCACAAGCTGGAATCAAGATTTCTGGGAGAAATGTGAATTACCTCAGATATTCAGATGACACCACCCTTATGGCAGAAAGTGAAGAAAAACTAAAGAGACTCTTGATGAAAGTGATAAAGGAGAGTGGAAAAGTTTGCTTAAAGTTCAACATTCAGAAAACTAAGATGGTGGCAACTGGTTCCATCACTTCATGGCAAATAGATGGGGGAAAATGGAAACCATGATAGACTTTATTATTTGGGCTCCAAAATCACTGCAGATGGTGACTGCAGCCATGAAATTGAAAGATGCTTGCTTCTTGGAAGAAAAGCTATAACCAACATAGGCAGCATATTAAAAAGCAGAGACATTCCTTTACCAAGAAAGGTCCATCTAGTCAAAGCTATGGTATTTGCAGTATTCATAGATGGATGTGTGAGTTGGGAGTATAAAGAAAGCTGAGCGCTGAAAAATTAATGCTTTTGAACAGTGGTGTTGGAGAAGACTCTTGAGAGTCCTTTGGACAGCAAGGACATCCACCAGTTCATCCTAAAGGAAATCAGTCCTGAATATTCTTTGGAAGGACTGATGCTGAAGCTGAAACTCCGATCCTTTGGCGCCCTGATGGGAAGAGCTGACTCATTGGAAAAGACCCTGATGCTGGGAAAGATTGAAGGCAAGAGGTGAAGGGGACAGCAGAGGAAGAGATGGTTGGATGGCATCACTGACATAATGGACATGAGTTTGAGTAAGCTCCAGGAGTTGGTGATGGACAGGGAATCCTGGTGTGTTGCAGTCCATGTTGCAGACTCGCAAAGAGTCAGACATGACTGAGCGACTGAAATGAACTGAACTGAATGACACTGGTGATGGTGCTCAGTTGCTCAGTCTGAGCATTTGTGTGTCTGACTATTTGCCACCCCAAGGACTGAAGCAATCCAGGCTCCTCTGTCCTCCTTAATTCCTGGAGTTTGCTTAAATTCATGTCCATTGAGTTGGTGATGCTATCTAATTATCTCATCCTCTACCACCTTCTTCTGTCTTCAGTCTGTTCCAGATTAGGGTCTTTCCAATGAGTTGCTCTTCACATCAGGTGGCCAAAGTATTGGAGCTTCAGCTTCAGCATCAGTCCTTCCATTGAATACTTAGGGTTGATTTCCTTTAGGATTGACTGATATTCTTGCAGTACATAGGCATATATGTATATATGATATATGTCCATAGTATATATATGTCCATAGTCATAGGCATATATATATATGCATGATTCCTTAGGTGACTGCAGTTTACAGTCACATTCAAAAACCATTGTATTAGTTACCTGTTTGTTGAAGTGAAAATACATTTTACTGTAAATCAATTTATTATGATGAAGAATTTTATCAAAAGCAGAATTAATGAAAAGGATACCCTCCTTCCTATTCATCCATCTCTTGCTTTTTAAAAAAATTTTTTCTTAGTATTTTTACCTCTCAGTTTATAATTGCTAATTCAGAGTCAAATAGGCCCTAGCTCACTGGAAACAAAGTTCAAAAATTCACAGTAGGAGCTCAGATAGAGGTATGATTTTGGTACCTTTTCACACTGTTCTGGAAGATCACTTCCCTTTTAATCTATTTCCTCAAGAAATCTTAAAAAGCTTCAAGCCCTAAGCCAGTTGTCTTTGTCCTTAGGAAATGAGAATTAACTATCAACTATAGATTTTGTAGCACCATCCTTGGTGTTGCAGCTGCATTTTGGTCAAGCTTTTGTCATATTCAACAGCAATAATTTATTTAAAATTACTTTTTCTATGACTCTGTGAGGTCCTTACTTCTCTTTATTAGGTTTCTTTCATCTGTAACAGTATCTGAAATGTTATGAATTTCATTAAATGAAATCAATGAATAATGCTTCTAGTTCAGAGGTTATTTTCTGAGAATAGTATGAAAATTAAGAAACTTGAATCCAAATGGCATTGAGTTTCTGTTGAGAAAGGAAATACAAATGAGTGTAAAGAAATCTGTCTCACATTTGCATGTTTGCATACCTGACTTTCCTTTTCCAGATGTCTCCACAAGTGGAAAATTGCTGCCAGCACCAATGATGACTGGGCACATTCAAGGCTTAATTTGGAAATCAGTAGCTGATTGAAAGCAATGTTCAAGTTTTCCATTTAGAGTTATAGGAGTGGATCTTCTTGCATAAATTTCAGAACTATTGCTGGAATAAAAGAGAAAGGTCTTTATGAAGATATGTGAGATGGTATCTGAGTTTCATTAAGCATTTTTGAAAAGGATCAAACTGGGTATCATTCTACAACACTTGGACAGCAACAACCACAAAAAGAAATCATTGATAAATAGTATCAGCTTTCTGGATTCTTTCTACAGAAATGCCATCTGGAATTGAAAATGCTTTTCTGGTAGCAACAATAGGAGGATTCCTGATTGGAATGTTGGGGAATGGGTTCATTGTACTAGTTAACTGCATCGACCTGGTGAAGAGACAAAAGCTCTCATCAGCTGACTGCATCCTCACAGGCCTGGCTATCTCCAGAATCAGTCAACTTTGGGTAATACTATGTGATTCATTTTTATTGGTCCTATGGCCACACCGATATGCCATTGATAAACTAACAAAAGTTGTTAGCATTTTTTGGACATTGTCTAATCACCTAGCTACCTGGTTTGCCACCTGTCTAAGTGTTTTCTACTTCTTTAAAGTAGCCAGCTTCTCCCACCTCTGCTTCACTTGGCTGCAGTGGCGAATTCGTAGTGTGGTACTGGTGCTTCTCTTGGGGTCTTTGTCCTTACTGTTTTTGAACTTTGAATTAATAGATATGTTTAATAGTGTCTGGATTAGTGGCTACAAAATATATGCAAAAAACTCAACGTGGTTCTCAGATCTAAGTGAAACTCATTATCTTCCCCATTTGATTGTTTTTAACTTCATCAACTTAATCCCCTTTCTTCTGTCCCTGACCTCACTGCTCCTCTTATCTCTCTCCTTGATGAGACACATCAGGAATTTGCAGCTCAACCCCAGCTCAAAGGATCTCAGCACAGAGGCCCATAAAAGAGCCATGAAAATGGTGATGTCTTTCCTCTTCTTCTTCGTCATTCATGTTTCTTCCATCTTATTAACAGGTTGGGTTTTCCTTAAACAGCGGGGATGTCTGGCCAAATTGGTGGTTGTGTTAACTTCGACTGTTTTTCCATCAAGCCACTCCTTTATCCTAATTTTGGGAAATAGCAAACTGAGACAAAATGTGGTAGGACTGCTGTGGTATCTTAACTGCCACCCGAAAAGAGTGAAATCTTTAGCTTCATAGATTTATCCAGAATTTTCTATATTCCCAGAGCATTGAATTAATCAAGAGACATTGAAGATACATTTCAACTTCTGTTTTTCTCACTGAATTCCTTTAGATTCTACTAAGCATCAGAAACTTTCCCTAGAATGGTCTATAAACTAAAAATCTACCCACAGAGGTGAATTGATTCTTTTAAAAAGCAAGCATCATTGGCATCATAAGACTTTCTACTAGTGAAAAAATATTTGAGCAATATAAATATAAAATATATAATGCAATATGTATTAATTTTATAAATGTTGGAAAATATGTACTATAGTCATATGTAAGGAAAAAAACATGAATATTTAGACATGCAAATCCTTTCCAAGGTAGAGCAGGTGAAATATTTGTATAAAATTAAGCTAAAAATAAATCAAGGGGGCTTCCCTGGTGGCTCAGTGGTGGAGAGTCTGCCTGCCAGTGCAGGAGACTCGGGTTCCATCTCTGACCCTGGAAGTCCCCATGTGTTTTGGAGCAACTGTGCCCTTGCACACAACCACTAAGCCTGTGCCCTGGAGCCTGGAAGCCACAACTACTGAACCCATGTGCTGCAACTGCGGAAGCCCGTGTGCCCTACAGCCCGTGCTCTGCAACGAGAGAAGCCACCACAAGGAGCAGCCCACTCTCTGCACCTAGAGCAAAGCCTGCACAGCATGAAGACCAAGAAAGCCCCAAATGAAAAATAAAGAAGTTAAATTATAAAAAGAATAGATAAATGAAGGGCTAAAAATGTTGGAAGCACAGAACCTTAAAATGACTGTTGACTTAAGTTCACAATGTAAACATTGTGAGTTAATTTTTCTTAGGACAAAATGAGGACAGCAGCCCTGGATTCAGCACCTCAGATAGCTCTGAGAGACTGCTCCAAAGAGGCAGAGAAGGTCAGTATAGAATTGATTTTGGTGATGGGGGAGTATATGCAATCAAACACATGTTTTTGCAGAAGGTTTCTGCTAGTCATGAAGAGTTGCCGTCACCATGAAGGACTTTAGTGCTTTTTAGGAGATACAAAAACTGAGCTCATAAAGTTGTCTCCTAAAAGTATCTAACCATCTGAAGACCTGTTCTGCCAGTTTTTTCCCTGAGCTTAGAGTGCATTATTTCTGCTCTCTACCCTGAACTCCTTTGGGAGTCTCAAAAATCAGCAGCTGCAACAATAGATGATTTAATCCTTATAGAGGTAGATGGCAAGTGTCATTATGTAGCTGACATGTCCAAAAGAGGTTTAAAACAAAGAAGCAGACTGTTATTAGGAATCCAAGCTAGACTAACCACTACTTTGCAGAATAAGAAAAAATCAGCTGAACTTATAGAAAGATTCTGAATAATTATTCCCTAAGTATATAATAATACTTTTATGTCTACTTAGTATTTTTATGTTTACTTTACATGGATCAAAATCACACTTTGATATCAAAGGTGTGTGTGTGGTGTGTGTGTAAGAATTATATGAACACTAATGTCCTTTGTCAGAGAAAACAAAAACAATTCACCAGGGACAAAAACAGAAAGGAAAGTTTACAAGAGAATATCACCTATTTGTAGAATTTTCAGACATGTTTATATGTGTGTGTGTGTGTGTGTGTGTGTGTGTGTGTGTGTGTACATGTTTATGTTTAGTGCTGAGTTGATGCTTAAAATAATTAAAATTTAAAAAGCAGGGTTTCCCTGGTGGCTCAGCTGATAAAGAATCTGCTGGTAAGTGGGAGACCTGGGTTTGATCCCTGGGTTGGGAACATCTCCAAGAGAAGGGAACAGCTACCCACTCCAGCATTCTGGCCTGGAGAATTCCAGGGACTGTATAGTCCATGGGGTTGCAAAGAGGCAGACAAGACTGGGGACTTCATTTACCGTCACAAAAGCTGCTGAAAATGTATATACATCGTCAATTCAGTTCAGTTCAGTCGCTCAGTCGTGTCTGACTCTTTGCGACCCCATGAACCACAGCACGCCAGGACTCCCTTTCCATCACCAACTCCCAGAGTCTACCCAAACCCATGTCCATCGAGCTGGTGATGCCATCCAACCATCTCATCCTCTGTCGTCCCCTTGTCCTCCTGCCCTCAGTCTTTCCCAGCATCAGGGTCTTTTCAAATGAGTCAGCTCTTCGCATCAGGTGGCCAAAGTATTGGAGTTTCATCTTCAACATCAGTCCTTCCAATAAACACCCAGGACTGATCTCCTTTAGGATGGACTGGTTGGATCTCCTTGCAGTCCAAGGGACTCTCAAGAGTCTTCTCCAACACCACAGTTCAAAAGCATCAATTCTTTGGCACTCAGTTTTCTTTATAGTCCAACTCTCACATCCATACATGACCACTGGAAAAACCATAGCCTAGACTAGATGGACCTTTGTTGGCAAAGTAATGCCTCTGCTTTTAAATATGCTTTCTAGGTTGTTCATAACTTTCCTTCCACGGAGCAAGTGTCTTTTAATTTCATTGCTGCAATCACCAACTGAAGTGATTTTGGAGCCCAGAAAAATAAAGTCAGCCACTCTTTCCTCATCTATTTGCCATGAAGTGATGGGATCAGGTGCCATGATCTTAGTTTTCTGAATGTTGAGCTTTAAGCCAACTTCTGCAGTTTCCTCTTTCACTTTCATCGAGAGGCTCTTTAGTTCTTCTTCAATTTCTGCCATAAAGGTGGGATCATCTGCATATCTGAGGTTATTCATATTTCTGCTGGCAATCTTGATTCCACCTTGTGCTTCTTCCAGCCCAGCGCTTCTAATGATGTACCCTGCATATAAGTTTGATAAGCAGGGTGACAATATACATCCTTGACATGCTCCTTTTCGTATTTGGAACCAGTCTGCTGTTCCATGTCTAGTTGTAACTGCTGCTTCCTGACCTGCATACAGGTTTCTATCTTAAGGCCAGTCATTTCAGTTCAGTGGCTAAGTTATGTCCTATGCTATGTGACCCCCTGGAATGAAGCATGATAGGCTTCCCTATCATCACCAACTCCCAGAGCTTGGTCAAACTCATGTCCATCGAGTCGGTGATGCCATCCACCGTGTCATCCTCTTTTGTCCCCTTCTGCTCCTGACTTCAAACTTTCCCAGTAACAGGGTCTTTTCCAATGAGTCAGTCTTCCCATCAGGTGGCCAGTCTTAGAACTTCAACTTTAGCATCAGTCTTCCAATGAATATTAGCATTGACTGGTTTGATTTCCTTGCAGTCCAAGGGACTCTCAAGAGTCTTCTCCAGTATCACAGTTCAAAAGTATCAGTTTTTCGGTTCAAAAGCATCATTTTTTCAGCACCCAGTTTTCTTTATAGTCCAGCTCTGACATCATACCTGACTACTGCAAAAACCATAGCACTTTGACTAGATGGAACTTTGTCTTCCAAGAAATATCTCTGCCTTTTAATATGCTGTCTATGTTGGTCATAACTTTTCTTTCAAGGAGCAAGAGTGTTTTAATTTCATGGCTGGTCACCATTTGCAGTGATTTTGGAGCCCAAAAATAAAGTCTCTCACTGCTACTTTGGTTTCCCCATGTATTTGCTATGAAGTGATGGGACCAGAATCCATAATCTTAGTTTTTTGAATGTTAACTTTTAACTAAGCTTTTTCACTCTTTTCTTTCACTTTATCAGGAGGCTCTTTAGTTCTTCTTCACTTTCTGCAATAAGGGTGGTGTCATCTGTGTATCTAAGTTTATTGATATTTCCCCCAGATTTCACATGATGTATTCTGCGTATAAGTTAAATAAGCCAGGTGACAATATACAGCCTCTCTGCACTCCTTTCCTAATTTGGAATCAGGCTGCTGTTCCATGTCTGATTCTAACTGTTGCTTCTTGACCTGTGTACAAATTTCTCAGGAGGCAGGTAAGGTGTCTGATATACCTTTCCCCCACAATTTGTTATGATCCACAGAGTCAAAGGCTTTGGCATAGTCAATAAAGCAGAAGTAGATATTTTGATGGAACTTTCATGTTTTTGATGATCCAACAGATGTTGGCAATTTGATCTCTGATTCCTCTGCCTTTTGTAAATCCACCTGGAAGTGAATGGTTCACATACTGTTGAAGCCTGGCTTGGAGAATTTTGATCATTATATTGCTAGCATGTGAGGTGAGTGCAACTGGGTGGTACTTTGAACATTCTTTGGCATTGCCTTTCTTGGGATTGGAATGAAAACTGACCTTTACCAGTCCTGTGGCCACTGCTGTGTTTTCCAAATTTGCTGGCATACTGAGTGCAGTACTTAACAGCATCATCTTACAGAATTTGAAATAGCTCAACTGGAATTCCACCCCCTCCATTAGCTTTGTTCATAGTGATTCTTCCTAAGACCTACTTAACTTTCCATTTCAGCATGTCTGGTTCTAGGTGAGTGATCATACCATCATGGTTAAATAAGTCATGATGATTTTTTTGTATTGTTCCTCTATGTATTCTTGCCCCTCTTCTTAATATCTTCTGCTTCTGTTAGGTCCATACCATTTATGTCCTTTATTGGCCCATCATTGCATGAAATGTTCTCTGGTATCTCTGATTTTCTTGAAAAGATCTCTAGTCCTTCCCATTCTATTGTTTTCCTCTATTTCTTTGCACTGATCACCGAAGAAGGCTTTTTTTCCTCTGCTTGCTCTTCTTTGTAACTCTTCATTCAAATGGGTATATCCTTCCCTTTTTCCTTTGCCTTTAGCTTCTCTTTATTTCTCAGTTATTTGGAAGACCTCCTCAGACAGTCTTTTTGCATTTTTTTTTCTAGGGTATGGTCTTGATCACTGCCCCCTGTACAATGTCACAAATCTCCATACTTTGTTCTTCAGGCACTCTATCAGATATAATCCCTTGAATCTATTTGTCACGTCCACTGTATAATTGTAAGGAATTTGATTTAGGTCATACCTGAATGGTCTAGTGGTTTTCCTTACTTTCTTCAATTTAAGTCTGAATTTGGCAATAAGGCGTTCATGATCGGAGCCACAGTCAGCTCCTGGTCTTGTTTTTGCTGACTGTATAGAGCTTCTCTATCTTGGGCTGCAAAGAATATAATCAATTAAGTGGACCTTAGGAAGCATCACTATGTACAAAGCTAGTGGAGGTCATGGAATTCCAGTTGAGCTATTTCAAATCCTAAGAGATGATGCTGTGAAAGTGCTGCACTCAAAATGCCAGCAAATTGAAAAACTCAGGACTGGCCACAGGACTGGAAAAGGTCAGTGTTCATTCCAATTCAGAAGAAAGGCAATGCCAAAGAATGTTCAAACTACTGCACTGTTGAACTCACCTCACATGCTAGCAAATTAATGCTCAAAATTCTTCAAGATAGGCTTCAACAGTATGCGAAATGTGAACTTCCAGATGTTCAAGCTGGATTTAGAAAAGGCGGAACCAGAGATCAAATTGTCAACACCTGATTATCTAAAAAGTGAGAGAGCTCCAGAAAAACACCTACTGCTTTACTGACTATGCCAAAGCCTTTGACTGTGTGAATCACAACAAACTGTGGAAAATTCTTCAAAAGATGGGAATACCAGACCATGTGCCCTGCCTCCTGAGAAACTGTACACAGGTCAAGAAGCAACAGTTACAACCCAACATAGAACAGCATACTGGTTCCAAATTGGGAAAGGAGTACATCAAGGCTGTATATTTTAAGCCTGCTTATTTAACTAATATGCAGAGTACATCATGAGAAATGCTGGGCCGGATGAAGCACAAGGTGGAATCAAGATTGCCAGGAGAAACATCAATTACCTCAGGTATGCAGATGACACCACCCTTATGGCAGAAAGTGAAGAGGAACTAAAGAGCCTCTTGATGAAAGTGACAGAGGAGAGTGAAAAAGTTGGCTTAAAGTTCAACATTCAGAAAACTAAGATCGTGGCATCTGGTCTCATCACTTCATGGCAAATAAATGGGGAAACAATGGAAACACTGACAGACTTTATTACTTTGGCTCCAAAGTCACTGCAGATGGTGACTGCAACCATGAAATTGAAAGACATTTGCTCCTTGGAAGAATAGTTATGACCAACCTAGGCATAATATTAAAAATCAGAGACATTACTTTGCCAACTAAGGTCCATCTAGTCAAAGCTATGGTTTTACCAGTAGTCAAGTATGGATGTGAGAGTTGAACTATAAAGAAAGCTGGGCACCAAGGAATTGATGCTTTTGAACTGTGGTGTTGGAGAAGACTCTTTAGAGTCCCTTGAATAGCAAGGACATCCAACCAGTCCCTTGTAAAGGAAATCAGTCCTGAATATTCATTGGAAGGACTCATGCTGAAGCTCCAATCCTTTGGCCACCTGAGTCAAAGAACTGACTCTCTTGGAAAGACCCTGATACTGGGAAAGATTGAAGGCAGGAGGAGAAGGGGACAACAGAGGATGAGATGGTTGGATGGCATCACCGACTCAATGAACAGGAGTTTGAGCAAGCTCCGGGAGTTGGTGATTTGACAGGGAAGCCTGTTGGCTGCAGTCCATAGAGTCACAAGAAGTCAGATATGAGTGAGCAACTGAATTGAACTGAACTGAATTGAACTGAATGATATTGGTGATGGTGCTCAGTTGCTCAGTCATGTCTCACTCTTTGCCATCCCATGGACTGCAGCAAGCCAGGCCCCTCTGTCCTCCTTAATTCCCAGAGTTTGCTCAAGTTCATGACCATTGAGTTCGTGATGCTATCTAACCATCTCATCCTCTACCACCCTCTTGTCTTTTTCCTTCAATCTGTCCCAGATCAGGGCCTTTCCAATGAGTTGCCAAAGGTGGCCAAAGCATTGGAGCTTCAGCTTCAGCATCAGTTCTTCCAACTAATACTCAGGGTTGATTTCCTTTAGTATTAACTGATATTCTCGCAGTCCAAAGGACTAGCTCATATGCATATATATATGAGGTAACTGCAGTTTACAGTCAAGTTCAGAAACCATTGTATTAGTTACCTGTTTGTTGAAGTGAAAATACATTTTACTTGTAAATTACTTTTTTATGAGATGAAGAATTTTATCAAAAGCAGAATTAATGAAAAGGAGAACCTCACTCCTATTCATCCATCTCCTGTTTTTTTTTTCTTTTGCCTTTTTTCTTAGTATTTTTACCTCTCAGTTGATAATTGCTAATTCAGAATCAAATAGGCAGTAGTTCACTGGAAACAAAGTTCAAAAATTCACAGTAGGAGCTCAGATAGAGGTATGATTTTGGTACCTTTGTGCATTATTCTGGAAGATCACTTCCCTTTTAATCTATCTTCAAGAAACCTTAAAATGCTTCAAACCCTAAGCCAATTGTCTTTGTCCTGAGGAAGCGAGAATTAACTATCAACTATAGATTTTGTAGCATCATCCTCAGTGTTGCAATTGCATTTTGATCAAATTTTTGTCTTATTCAACAGTAATAGTTTATTTAAACTGACTTTTTCCATGACTCTGTGAGGTCCTAATATTGCTTTTCTTTATTAGGTTTACTTCATCTGTAACAGTATCTGAAATGTCATGGATTTTATTAAATGAAATCGATGAATAATGCTTCTATTTCAGAGGTTATTTTCTGAGAATACTATGAAAGTTAAGAAACTTGAATCCAAATGGTATCGAGTTTTGGTTGAGAAAGGAAGTACAAATGAGTGTAAAGAAATCTGTCTCACATTTGCATGTTTGCATACCTGACTTTCCTTTCCGGATGTCTCCACAAATGGAAAATTACTGCCAGCACCAATGATAAGTGTGAACATTTACTGTTTTATCTGGAAATCAGTAGCCGATTGAAAGCAATGTTCAAGTTTTCCATTTAGAGCTATGGGAGTGGATCTTCTTGCATAAATGTCAGAACTACCAGGAATAAAAGGCTGCAATAAAAGGTCTTTATGAAGATATGTGAGATGGTATCTTGAGTTTCATTAAGCATTTTTGAAAAGGATCAAACTGGGTATCATTCTACAACACTTGGACAGCAACAACCACAAAAAGAAATCATTGATAAATAGTATTAGCTTTCTGGATTCTTTCTACAGAAATGCCATCTGGAATTGAAAATGCTTTTCTGGTAGCAACAATAGGAGGATTCCTGATTGGAATGTTGGGGAATGGGTTCATTGTACTAGTTAACTGCATTGACCTGGTGAAGAGACAAAAGCTCTCATCAGCTGACTGCATCCTCACAGGCCTGGCTATCTCCAGAATCAGTCAACTTTGGGTAATACTATGTGACTCATTTTTATTGGTCCTATGGCCACACCTATATGCCATTGATAAACTAACAAAAGTTGTTAATATTTTTTGAATACTGTCCAATCACCTAGCTACCTGGTTTGCCACCTGTCTAAGTGTTTTCTACTTCTTTAAAGTAGCCAACTTCTCCCACCCCTGCTTCACTTGGCTACAGTGGCGAATTCGTAGTGTGGTACTGGTGCTTCTCTTGGGGTCTTTGTCCTTACTGTTTTTGAACTCTGAATCAATATATACGTTTAATCATATCTCAACTAACAGCTACAAAATATATGCAAGAAACTCAACGTGGTCCTCAGATCTAAGTGAAACTCATTATCTTCACCATTTGATTGTTTTTAACTTCATCAACTTAATCCCCTTTCTTCTGTCCCTGACCTCACTGCTCCTCTTCTCTCTCTCCTTGATGAGACACATCAGGAATTTGCAGCTCAACCCCAGCTCAAAGGATCTCAGCACAGAGGTCCATAAAAGAGCCATGAAAATGGTGATGTCTTTCCTCTTCATCATTCATGTTTCTTCCATCTTATTAACAGATTGGATTTTCCTTAAACTGCAGGGACATCTGGTCAGATTGGTGGTTGTGCTAACTTCGACTGTTTTTCCATCAAGCCACTCCTTTATCCTAATTTTGGGAAATAGCAAGCTGAGACAAAGTGCAGTAGGACTGCTGTGGTATCTTAACTGCCACCCGAAAAGAGTGAAATCTTTAGCTTCATAGATTTATCCAGAATTTTCTATATTCCAAGAGCATTGAATTAATCAAGATACAGTAAAGATGCAGTTTAATTTCTGTTTTTGTCACTGGATTCCTTTAAATTCCACTGAGCATCAGAAACTTTCCCTAGAATGGCCTATAAACTGACAATCTACTCACAGAGGTAAATCGATTTTTTAAAAAGCAAGCCTCATGGTCATCTTAACAGTTTCTACTAGTGAAAAAATATTTGAGCAATATAAATATAAAATATATAATGCAATATGTATTCATTTTATATATGTTGGTATATGTTTACCACAGAATATATAAGGACAAATACATGATCATTTGAACATGCCCATCCTTTCCAAGGTCGAGCGTGTGAAATATTTGTATAATGTTAAGCTAAAAATAAATCAAAGGGGCTTCCCTGGTGGCTCAGTGGTGGAGAGTCTGCCTGCCAATGCAGGAGACACGGGTTCAGTCTCTGACTTGGGAAGGCCCCACATGTCATGGAGCAACTGGGCCCTTGCATACAACTATTGAGCCTGTGCCCTGGAGCCTGGAAGCCACAACTACTGAACCCATGTGCTGCAACTGCGGAAGCCCGTGTGCCCTACAGCCCGTGCTCTGCAACGAGAGAAGCCACCACAAGGAGCAGCCCACTCTCTGCACCTAGAGCAAAGCCTGCACAGCATGAAGACCAAGAAAGCCCCAAATGAAAAATAAAGAAGCTAAATTATAAAAAGAACAGATAAAGGAAGGGCTAAAAATGTTGGAAGCACAGAACCTTAAAATGGCTCTCGACTTAAAAAAATGCACAGTGTGAATTTTGCAAGTTAAGTTTTTCTTAGGGCAAAATGAGGACAGCAGCCCTGGATTCAGCACCTCAGGTAGCTCCAAGAGACTGCTCCAAAGAGGCAGGGAGAAGGTCAGTATAGAGGTGATTTTTGTAAAGGGGGAATACATGCAATCAAGCAGGTTTTTTTGCAGAACGTTTCTGCTAGTCACAAAGAGCAGTTGTCACCATGAAGGACTTCAGTGCTTTTTAGATTTGATGAAATACAAGAACTAGGCTCTCATAAAGTTGTCTCCTGAAAATATCTAATGATCTGAAGACCTGTTCTGCCGGTTTTTCCCTGAGCTCAGGGTACCTTATATCTGTTCTCCACCCTGAACTCCTTTAGGGAGTCTCAAAAATCAGCAGCTGCAACAGTAGATGATTTAATCCTTAAGGAGGATAGGTGGCAAGTGTCACTTTGTAGCTGACTTGGCCAACACAGCTTTTAGAAAAAGGGGCAGACCATTATTAGGAATCCAAGCTAGACTAGCCAGTACTTTGTAGAATAAGAAAAAAATTAACTGAACCTATAAAAAGAGACTGTATAATTATCCTAAGTGTATAATAATACTTTTATGTCTACTTAATATTTTTACATCTACTTTACATGGATCAAGATCATACTTTGATTATCAAATTTGTGTATGTGGGATGTGTGTGTGTGTGTGTGTGTAAGCATTGTATGAACAATAATGTCCCTTGTCAAAGAGAACAGAAACAATTCACCAGGGGTAAAAACAGAAAGGGAAATTTACAAGAGAATGTCACCTATTTGTAGAATTTTCGGACATGTTTATGGGTGTGTGTGTGTGTGTGTATGTATGTGTATATATATACTATATATGTATATATATATAGTGCTGAATTGATGTTTATAATAACTAAAATAAAAGCAGCTGAAAATGTATATGCATCTTAAGACCAGCAGGTGGCAAGTTTGTGCTTCCTAATGACATTGGTGGTGGTGCTCAGTTGCTCAGTGATGTCTGACTCTTGGCGCCTCTATGGACTATAAACCACCAGTTCCCTCTGTCCATGGAATTTTCCAGGCAAGAATATTGGAGTGGGCTGCCATTTCCTACTCCATAGATTCTTCCTGACTCAGGGATCGAAACCAAGTCTCCTGCGTCTGCTGCACTGGCTGGTAGATTCTTTACCACTGGGCCACCCGGGAAGACCCGCCAAAAACCATAAAAAATGAAGAAATCTTTGCTAGAATTGCCATAAATTTTAAGTGGTAGAAGCAAAACACACCCCCAGCAAACTAGAAAATAAATGTTGAAAATATTTATGAAATATATGAAACTATGTGGTTATAAGTTAATTTTGATGGAGCAGTAGGTCAGGTCTGACGACACTAGGAAGACTGTAAGAACCGTAAGGGCTTTGTTAAGTGTACCCTTACTCCAGGGAGCTGAGCCATGGTGTGCTCTGATGTTAAGGGTGATGAGGAGATGATGATACATGTATATGCAGGTCTATAAAATTTAGATTTCTAAGCTGCATTCATTATGTTAGACACTATATAAGAAGTTTCCTGGGTGGGGGAAGTAGATGAAGATGGTCAAAACATACAAACTTACATTTGTAAGATAAATAAGTAGAAAGTAATGTATAAAATGATGACTATAATTAACACTGTTGTATGGTAAATTTTAAAGTTGCTTAGAGAGTAGATTACGAATTTCATCACAGGAGAAAATATCTTTTTTTTTTTTTTTGTATTCTTACTAGATGATGGATGTTAACTAAACTTATTGTGGTAATCATTTTGCAATGTATGTAAGTTAGATTGTTATGTGTATACCTTAAACTTACTGAGTGCTGTGTCAATTATATTTCAATAAAAGTGAAAGAAAGCTTAAATTTCCTAATGATTGTCACTGGGATTACCTTGTTTTAGGAAAGGTGAAATTCTAATTATACAGGTTATATTTAAATTCAATATGGAGGATAATTTGATTTAGAATCCCTTTCAGTAAAAAAGCTAAAAATTCCTTTGTACTTATGAGAAGCACAGTTTTAGTTTTTTAGATTTGCATTTCAGTGTTACTAAACTTTTCTTTAATGACTAAGATTAAAAAATAGATTCAAGCCAGTATGCATAGCCCTTGATGCTTATGAGGTGATTTAACAGCAAATGTCTCATTAAATCCTCCCTTCTCATGTACTAATCTTGGAGAGATAAGTTGTAAGAAGTAGGAGCCTATTTCAAATAATAGGCGTGCAAAAAAATGACTATAAAGATGAGGCCTGGAGAATAGGTCAGACAGTGGCTACCAATGTATTTTGTGTCTTCTCCCTATTAAACTGGCATTTAGAGATTAAATTCTGTGCCTCTCAATGTAGAGAACAACAAATGGATATCAAGGAGGGAGCAGGGTGGGATAAACTGGAAGATTGGGCTTGACATATACACACTACTATGTATAAAATGGTCTTTCCTGATGTTTCAGATGGTAAAAGAATCCACCTGCAATGCTGGAGACCTGGGTTCCATCCCTGGGTTGGAAAGATCCTCTGGAGAAGGGAACGGCAACCCACTCCAGTATTCTTGTTTGAAGAATTTCAAGGAGAGGAGCCTGGTGGGCTACAGTCCATGTGGTCGCAAAGAGTCAGACACAACTGAGAGATTAGTACACACACACTTATAAAACAGATAACAAGAACCTATGGGATATCACAGGGAACTCCAGTAAATGCTCTGTGGCAACCTATATATCAGCGAAGGAAAGGAAATCAAAAAGGGGAAGGAAATTTTAAAAAGAGGGAATACCTTATAAACATTATAGCTAATTCACTTTGTTGTACAGCAGAAGTGAACACAGCACTGTAAATCAATTATAGTCCAAAAAATTAAAAACAAAACACAACTCTGTGCCCCTCCTTTCCACAGCACAGCCTGCATTACAGACCCCAGCCTTGACCCAAGAAAAGCTACTAGTATCACATTCATAGCTGGTCTCATGCAATCTGGGGAGTGCTGGATCCTATACTGGAACCAAATTATTGGGATTGTCAATGGTTTAATGACAATCATATAAAATGATTGTCAATGTTTGTCTGCTGATCACTTCCCTCCAAAATAAACTTTTTGTAGTCTTGGTGTAGAGAATTTTGGGTTTTTTTTTGGTTGTTGTTGTTGTTGTTTTGTTTGCCCACACCTAAGATCAGGAGTGTTGCAAATAAGCTATTTCTGATGTCAAGTGAAAGTGAAAGTTGCTCAGTGGTGTCCCGACTCTTTGCAACCCCATGGACTATACAGTTCGGGAATTCTCCAAGCCAGAATACTGAAGTTGGTAGCCGTTCCCTTCTTCAGTGGATCTTCCCAACCCAGAGCCAGAATACTGAAGTTGGTAGCCGTTCCCTTCTTCAGTGGATCTTCCCAACCCAGGGATCAAACCCAAGTCTCCCACACTGCAGGTAGATTCTTTACCAGCTGAGCCACTAGAGAAGCCCAAGAATACTGGAGTGGGTAGCCGATGCCTTCTCCAGAGGATCTCCCTGACCCAGGAACTGAACAGGGGTCTCCTGCATTGCAATCAGATTATCAGCTGAGTTACTAAGGAAGCCCTCAATGTCAAAAGAGGCTAGAACTTAAACTGAAAAGATATTTTAGTGTTCAAGCCATGATGTCTTGAACTCTACTGAAAGGAGAGATCCCAGCAGAAATCTACACAGATTAATACAGAATGTGACAATGCTGAATCTCTGATTGTTCAGGTATTTTGTCTGCTGCTGTTGGTTAAATCTCAGGTCCTTTGAGCCAGAGACTTTTATAACTTTCAAATTGAAATACAGAAACCAGAGGGACACCTGCAAAACCCATTCTTCCACAGTCCACCCACTTTGACCTTGGTTAGTGCTGTGTATAGAGATCTATGCTTTGGACTGGATTGCCTGTAACAAACCTTCATCTAAAAAATGGAACAGGTGGTTGGTTTGGTCAATTCAAAAAAAGTTAAGACTATATATTTTTGGAGGGAAAAAAAGCACAGGGGATAGATGGGTTATTTTCAATTTTGGAGGGATACCAAATCAGAAGACTAAGGCACTATCTTAACTTGTATATTAGTACCTCTATTTCTTAGTCACATGTTTAAATGAGTTCTAAAATATCTTCTTTTCCTTCTATATAGATTTAGCCCTACCTCTAAATTTTAAGGCTTCTATTAATTGT